GAGGGCAGAAAGGGGGAGGGGGTGTCTGGATAAAAGAAAGTGAGAGGATTAGCCAAATAACATATATACATAATCCATAGACAGACAATAGTGTGGTGATGGCCAGAGAGATAGGGACATCTGTAATAGTATAAGCAATAAAAATAAAGTAAAAACATTAAAAAATAAAATTCCTGCCCTAACCGGTTTGGCTCAGTGGATAGAGCGTCGGCCTGCAGACTCAAGGGTCCCAGGTTCGATTCAGGTCAAGGGCATGTACCTTGGTTGCAGGCACCTCCCCAATAGGGGGTGTGCAGGAGGCAGCTGATTGATGTTTCTCTCATTGATGTTTCTAACTATCCCTCTCCCTTCCTCTCTGTAAAAAAATCAATAAAATATACTTTAAAAAAATAAAATTCCGTTTGAGGTATAACCTGCTCTTAGCTGGGAGGTAAATTCAGACCTAATTGAGCTCAAATATTTAACTGAAGTATTGGGTATATTTTGTTTTCCTAGAAAAAGCCTTTTGGGAATATTTTGGCTATCCAATCAGATTTGTCATTGTTCCCTGGTGGAACTGTTTTCCAACCTCCTAATACCTGCTCCTATGATGTCTCCCTATTGTGTTGACCCTTGTTTCCAAGAGGAATAGATTAAAATGAAAGGATGGACACAGGCTCAATTAGTCCATCTGAACTGGGCCTGGAGACTAAGTTCATAAGGTCTCTTGTTTTAGGTTCACTATTAGTGAAAACATTTCAAAACTTTGATGCAGACAAATCTGAAAATATGATGGAAATTAACAGAAGCCACTTAGAAGAGACCACACATTGCATGACTGCATTTATATGAAATACCCAGAATAGACAAATTTATACAGAGTATATTAGTGGTTGCCTAAAGCTGGCTGTGGGACAGAAGTGAGTGGCTGTCCAGGGGCACATGGTTTCTTTTTAGGGTGATGAAAACATTATAAAGTTAGATTGTGGCCGAAACCGGTTTTGTGAATGTACTTATAACTACTATAGGATACACTTTAAATGGGTGAATTTTATAATATTAAGTTGTGGGTTTTTTAAAAATCCTCACCTGAGGATATTTTTCCACTGATTTTTAGAGAGAGTGGAAGAGAGAGGGAAAGACAGAAACATCTATGTGAGAGAAAAACATCAACTGGTTGCCTCCTGCATACGCCCCGACCAGAGCCCGGGCTGGGGAGGAGCCTGCAACCAAGTACATGCTCTTAACCGGAATTGAACCTGGGACCTTTTGGTCTGCAGGCCAACGCTCTACCCATTGAGCCAAACCAGCTAAGGCTGTAAGATGTATTTTAATGAAGATGTTTAGAAAAGAATCTTATGCACTGGCTGGTGGCTCAGTTGGTTGAGAGTCGTCCCATACACTGAAAGGTCACCAGTTCGATTCCTGGTCAGGGCACACACCTGGTCTGTGAGATCTATCCCCAGCAGGGGGCGTGCAGGAGGCAGCTGATGGATGTTTGTTTTTTTCTTTCTTCCTTCCTCCCTAAAATCAATAAAAAAATATTAACCAAAAAGTTTTATGTTTTTTTTTTAAAGAGCCTTATAAAGACTTCTTCAATTTTGTCTTTGTCCTCACAGCTACTTTGCTTATTTGGTGTCATATGCCCACAAGCAGGCAGGAGGTTTTGTCTGGTCCCTGATCAATGACAACTGATCTTTAGCCAAGCACTGGAAATAGAAATTTACACAAGCATTATTCTTTTTGTTGCTGTTGATACCCTTTTCATTGATTTTTAGAGAGAGTAGAAGGGAGGGTGGGAGGGAAAAGGATGAGGGAGAGGGAAAGGGAGAGGAAGAGGGGGAGGGATAAGGGAGAGGGAGGAGGAGAGTGAGAGGGGGAGAGGGAGAGAGGAACACCGATGTGACACATCGATTGGTTGTCTCCCACACACTCGCCCTGGGGGTAAGGAAAGAACCTGCAATGCAGGAATCAAACCCAATACCCTTTGGTGTATGGGCCAACGCTCTACCACTCAGCCACACTGGCCAGGGCACAAGGGTTATTTTTAAAAATATATGTTTTTATTGATTTCAAAAGGAGGGAGGGAGAGGGAGAGAGGGATAGAAACATCAATGATGAGAGAGAATCATTTATCAGCTGCCTCCTGCACACTCCCTACTGGGGATCGAGCCCGCTACCCGGGCACGTAGGGCACAAGCATTCATCTTATGGGCCATTGCAGTTCTCCTGAGTCATCTCAATCTAAAACTGCACCTCTGCTTCTTTCGTGTTTTCTCACTGTAACAATAAGTGTTATACTATCTTTCAACTGACTCAATTTCCCAAGGATAATTTTCAGGAGGCCATCTGGGAGGGGGCGGTTCTGACAGGAACAAGAGTGTTCATCTGAGATGCATCATCAACACTGGACCAACACTGAGGTGGGGATTTTAAAGGGTTGATGCAGTGGATGTTTCCAATGTATGGCTTCCAAGGATAGGAGGCACCAAGGATAGGAACCAAGCATTAGGGGACACCTTTACCTCCAATGAAGCCATGAGTTTGTTTGCTTATTATTTATTTATTTCTAGGGTGTCTGGAGGCTTTCTTATGCTAAAGATCTATGTTGTAATGGCAGGAAAATAGTTACTAGATTCTGTATTCCTGACTAGGGAAATCCCAACCTATCTCTCCAGTAGCACAACCACACATTACACTGATACTGCTAAAAACAAAAACAAGACTCCATAAGCTTTATCTTTTACTCAAGACTCTACACTGTCTTTATCCACAACTTCAAGAAAAATAAAAAAAATTAAAACTATAATTATCAAAGCACTTATAAACACACTTAACCTCCATGTACTGCCAAAGCCTTGATGGTAGTAAGATAAATCCTCTCTAGGACCTGTATGTTAAAACTGAATTTCTTTGTTAAGATAATAAACTGTGGATTATCTAGAACTGTTTATATGTCTGTCATTGGTGCTACAGATAATTATTTCAAGATAAATAATGAAACAATATCACAAAGTCCTACTCACTTATAAAATTTTTTCTTGAACTCTACCAGATATTGATAGTTACCTTTCTGAGTAGCAAAACCCAACCCAAACTTATTTTTTCTATTTGCTATATTTAGTGCTTCTGTTTGCCCTAAACTGGGGGTGTTAGATTTTATAGCCTTTTGGTGGGCAAATGGTAATAAAGAGAACTTAAAAAGAACAGGTAAAAATCTGCCTTGGCGGGTGTGGCTCAGTTGGTTGGGCTTATTCCATGCATGAAAAGGTTGCCAATTCAACATGCCCGGGATTGCGGGCTTGATCCCCAATACGGAATGTGCAGGAGGCAGCAGATTGATGTTTCACTTTCACATCGATGTTTTTTTCTCTCTCCTCTCTCCTCTCTCTCTCTAAAAATCAATTTTAAAAATCTTAAAACAACAAAAACCACAGGTAAAATCTAACTGCTGAGCCACACCGGCAAGGGCTGGACTTCCCATTTCCTAACATTTTATGCAATAAAAAAATAAAATCCTGTTTGGTTTAAGCCATTGAATGCAATCCTAACTGAAACCAGTGTTCAAAGCTCTTCACAACATGCTCTCAACCACTCATTTTATCCTACCTCCTATTATTTTCTACTAGAGCAGTGGTTCTCAACCTTCCTAATGCCACGACCCTTTAATACAGTTCCTCATGTTGTGGTGACCCCCAATTTCATTGTTACAAATTGAACATAATTAAAGCATAGTGATTAATCACAAAAACAATATGTAATTATATGTGTTTTCCGATGGTCTTTGGCGACCCCTGTGAAAGGGTCGTTCGACCCCCAAAGGGGTCGCAACCCACAGGTTGGGAACTGCTGTACTAGAGGCCTGGTGCATGAAATTCGTGCCCCGGGGTGGGGGGGTGTGTGTCCCTCAGCCTGGCCTGCGCCCTCTCGCAGTCCGGGAGTCCTCAGGGGATGTTCGAATGATGGACATCCTCAGTGCTGCCATGAAGGCGGGAGAGGCTCCCGCCACTGCTGGCTGTGCTCCCCATCTGTGAGCCCGGCTTCTGGCAGAGTGGCACTCCCACTGTGGGAGCACACTGACCATCAGGGAGCAGCTCCTGCATTGAGCATCTGCCCCCTGGTGGTCAGTGCGCATCATGGTGACAGGTCATTCTGCCTTTCAGTCAATTTGCATATTAGGGTTTTATTATATAGGATTCTTCCACACTTCCATGCTTTGATACATTTTCAAAGAAATGTCATTCCCTTGTCTGGGCAAACTCCCACTTAACATCCAAGGTAAAAATACCCAGCATTAACTTGTTTTTTTTTTCTTTGTGAACCTATAACACTTTGTTCATATCTCTTGCCTAACACTAACCACTGATTTACATCTGATTCCTCAATTAGACTATTAACCCCCCCCCCTTTTTTCATACATTTTATTGACTTTTTAAAGAGAGGAAGGGAGAGGGATAGAGAGTTAGAAACATCGATGAGAGAGAAACATCGATAAGCTGCCTCCTGCACACTCCCTACTGGGGATGTGCCCACAACCAAGGTACATGCCCTTGACCGGAATCGAACCTGGGACCTTTCAGTCTGCAGGCCGATGCTCTATCCACTGAGCCAAACCAGTTAGGGCTTAAACCCCCCTTTTTTTAAAACCATGTATCCCCAATGCTTGACACATGTTACGTTTTCAGTAAATATTTTAATAAAGAATAAAACACTAACTGGACTTTTTAAAAACTGGGTGTTTTTTTTTTTTTGCATTGGAAGTAATCCATAATTCTTTCATATGTACCTGTATGTATCTTTGTCCCATCAGGCATTGTTCAACTATTTTTCTTTCCCAATGCGTAACTTATTAAAGAAATTATAGTACTAGTAGCAACATCTAAAAAAAAAAAAAAATCCAGTTATACTTTATTCTTCCCAATATTTCCTATACGACCCAGCACAAAACTTTATCTAGTAAGTACTTAAAAATGCTTGAATTGATTTGTTTATAGCAACATGAAAAACAGAAAACACTGTACCTATTGAGGAAGACTGTGGACTAATCAGAAGGTCCTCTTGGACTTGTTCACTTCCTGGCACTGTCTGCTGGTCACTCAGTGAACTCTGAGATGCACTGACGGGCTGGGGTACTTCCTCATGCACCTCCTCATCACTTAACCTTTCTACTTTCACCCGGACATCTTCTTCGGTACCCAGAGGCAAGGTCGTTTTTGTGCTCTCACAAGTCACAAAATCAGCCATTCTTCTGTCAGTCTCAGATGGGCCAGGTAGTTCTAAAGTCCGGGTGTTTTCTGCCTGCTTAACCTTGTCAGGCTGAATCCTTCGATCAATTCCAAAAGGAAAAGTCCAGGGAAAAGCTAGAGAAGAGTCAACTGGTTGACTTCTATTTTCTGAGTAGGAAGCTGAAGAATTCAGTATCTGGGGGGAGCTTGTCTGTGTGCTACACTTGACAGGACTTTCGGGTGACATAACGATGTAGCTTTTGCGCTTTCTCCGGGATTCTCGGCAGACGGGAATGGTTCTTTCTACCACGCTGCACTCTGACGACACGGGTGAAAGGCTTCCATCTCGAGAAGTGAAATTGCAGTTAGAGTTATTTTCTTGTCCAGCATCGAGACCCTTTTCCGGTTGGCTGTTGGGTGTATTCCATAAAATGCTTGATTTCATGAACTCTGAGCAGGTGCTAGCAACACTGAACATTTGCATATAGCTGGCTGCAGCCAGCACATCAATGATATTTTCTGTGTTAATTGACAGAGTGGCTGTGTAAGCATATTCTAGAAGGGGGATAAAACCAGTCACTGTAACATGATGTAAATCCAACACATTCTTGTCCTCATCCTCTGCTTGGCCTACAAGTTTAGTGCGAAAAAAATCACTGCAAGCTGCTAGTACCACCTTATGTGCCCGGAAGATTTTGTCCTGGACACGAATAGTGATGTCACAGAAATGTCCATCATTTCGCAGCATGTTTAGCTTTCCAAGCATTTCCTGGCTGTGGGAAGAAGAGCTATGAGTAAATGTTTTCACACCCATCTTTTCCTTCCTCTTCTACAGATGCTCTTCAAGGATGCAAATGAATCAGGAATGACCTAAAAAATACATAAAATAAGCATTAATTGATAGTTTAGTAGTCATAATAGGTAATTTAGATAGTTTTCATGTAGCCACTATGCTAAATCAAAAAGCTAAAAGATGGCAGTGAGAAAGTTCAAGGTAGAGAATATATTAAACATTCCTCCACACATATATGGGCAACGAATTTTCAACTAAGAAGCCAAGAATAGGCAATAGAGAAAGGAAAAATCTCTTCAATAAATGACGTTGGAAACACTGGACAGCCATATGCAAAAGAACCAAACTAGACTATGATCTTACACTATACACAAAAATTAACTCAAAATGAATTAAAGATTTGAATGTAGGACCTGACAATAAAATGCACAAAATAAAACATAAGCACTAACTAAGCTTATGGATATTGGTCTCAGAGATGTTTTTATGAACTGGACTCCAAAGGCAAGGGGAACAAAAAGCAAAAATAAATAAATGGGACTACATCAAACTAAAGAATGTCTGCACAGCAAAAGAAGCCAACAACAAAACAGAAAGGCAATCAACCAAATGAGAGATTATTTGCAAATGATACTTCCAATAAGGGACTAATATCCAAAATAGACAAAACTCATTCAACTGAACAAAAAATCTGATTTAAAACGATGACCTGAATACTTTTCCGAAGAAAACATACAGATGGCCAACAGATCTATGGAAAGATGTTCAACATCATTACTTATTAGGGAAATGCAAATCAAAACCACAATGAGATACTATGTCACAGCTATTAGAACGCTATTATTTAAAAAAAAACACACAGCAAGTATTGAAGAGGATGTGGAGAAAACGGAACCCTTGCATACTGCTGGTAGAAATTTAAATTGGTACAGCCATTATGGAAAACAGTATGGAAGTTCCTCAAAATACTGAGAACAGAACTTCCACATGACCCAGTAATACTGCTCACTTCTGGGTATTTAACCAAAAGTTTGAAAACACTTATTCTTAAAGATGCATTTATTCCTGTATTATTATTTAACTAGAGGCCTGATGCACGAAATTCAGGCACAGGTAGGTTCCCCAGGCCTGGCCGGCGATCAGGGCCGATCTGTGGGGTGACTAGCAGGGCAATTGGGGGGCCCCCGCTGGCACCTGCCTTGACTGGCCTGGGTCCTGTGGGCTGGGGGCAGCTCCTGCATGGAGCGTCTGCCCCCTGGTGGTCAGTGCGCATCATAGCGACCGGTTGTTCCCCCATTTGGTCGATTTGCATATTAGGCTTTTATTATACAGGATTATTGTATTATTTTCCATACAAACAACTGTAAACCTACTTTTGCCCTACCCTGTATACAATAGAATATTACTCTGCAAAAACATGGATGGATCCTGAGTATTATGCTAAGTGACATAAATCAGATGGAAAAAAACAAGAACCTTATGATTTCACGCATGTGTGGGATATACAATAGAAAGCCACAAACTCATCAACACACACAACAGAATGTGGTTACCAGAGGGGAAGAGTTGTCGTGGGAGGGCGAAGAGGATAAAGGGGGTCAGACATATAGCGACAGAGGAGACGAGAGCACACAACAGGGTACACAGATGCCGAATTATAATGTACACCTGAAATTTATATAATATCAACCAATGTTTCCCCAATACATTTAATAAAAAAAGTAAACCTTTTTATAAAAACTTCACATATAAACAAAATTTTTTAATTCCCTCTACCTGTCCCCCTAGCTGTCCAATCAGTGGAGTCTATGAGCTACTGTTTTAATGAACTGCCTAGCTTTAACTGCTTCACTTTTGATATTTTATTTGCCTGTCATGGTCTCTACCAGTAGGTGCGTTATTATCCCTGTTTGACAGAAAAGGGTTAATTATCTTGCTGAAGTAAAATAACTCTTAAGTAGCAGACCCAGGATTCAAATCCAAGCAGCCTTCTAGACCTTATTTAACTTCAGTGCCATATACTGTCCCATTTAGGACATAAAGTGAATCAATGTAGGGGTTTAAGAGTCCAGGTTTTAGAATGTGATAGCCTACATTCTGTCTTCAACAATTCCTCAATGGTTGTTATGAGAACTAACTGAAATAATATATGTATTAAATGCATAGTATTTAGCACTTTGTGAATGCTCAACAAATAAAGGCAGTTATTATTGTTATTTAGGTAACTAATACAATAAAACCTTTTCAAAAGTAAATTTATGTAAAAAAATGTTTAGTGATCAACTGACTGGATTTTCCTTAAAATAAAAGGACAACTGGTTTGCCAATGTCAGATTTTACATTTATTTACTTAAAACATAAATAACTAAAATCCTCAAATACTTTTAATATAGCAATCTAATTATGCTTCAGTTTTTATAGTACCTTCCCCTAACCACTTTTTATACCTTCTGTGTGAAATCGGGGAGGCTTATATTAGCCCTTTGGTAAGGATAAAACTAACGCTCAGATAAGTTAAGTGACTAACAAATGACAACCAAAGCTGGATCTGGGTCTTCTGACTCTTAAAACACAGTACTTTTCCAATGCAAAAACATACAGCTATGTACGCCAATTATTGTATCTAAGTTAAATAACTACAAAAAATAGTTGGTACTGTAATAAATGCAAAACAAAGCAATTTGGGGGAATGCTTTTGTAAATTTTCTCTAAATAAAAAAGGTATCAGTCCAGCCAGTGTGGCTCGGTGGTTGCGCATCAACCATGAACCAAGAGGTTGCCAGTCTGAATCCTGGTCAGGGCACATACTCAGACTGCTGGCTTGATCCCCAATGAGGGGCAAGCAGGAGGCAACCAATTGATGTATCTCTCTCATGTCAATGTTTCTCTCTCTCTCTTTTCCTCCCTCAGCTGGTAGGGGGCCTGAGGTGGGCAAGGAGGGAAACCTTTAACTCTGAATAAAGTTCTTGAAAATAATGTTACTTCCTGAAAGCGATCAGCAAAGTTATTAAGAATTGCCCTTCAAAACACACACACACACACACACACACACACACACACACACACACACACACACACACAAGACTTGCCCTTCAAAGAGCTGGAGGGAGAACTAACCCTGCAGAATAAACAAGTGGACAGTGGAATTGACAGCGACCACTTCCAGGCTGGGTTGCATTTTGCGCCATGGGGTCTTGGTAGCGTTGCCTGCAATTTGGTGGGCTGTCGCTCTGGGGTGGTGGTGGGGCCTGTGTCCCACTTGGGGGAAGCCGAATGTTGCTTTCCGGGCGCCAGGTCTGTGGCGCTGTTTCTCTGTAAATGGCCAGTGTGCATCATGGCAGCTCCTGGTTTGAGCGTTTGCCCACTCAATGGACAGTGCGTGTCATAGCGACCAGCTGGACGAACACTTAGCATATCAGATAGATATATATATATATGTAATCTAGTAAAGTAGAAAGTTTCCTTGAGTTCGATGGGCTGCTCTAGCGAATTAATTAAACCCAAGGAGGGAGCTGTTGGAACCTTCAATCTATAGCTGGTCCATAAGATGATCAGGTGATAAACCTGAACTTGTGACCTATGGATCAGTAAGGGCGAGGGGGCAGCAGTCTTGTAGGACTAACCCCTTAACTTAAGAGGCTGATGCTATCTACAGAAAGTGTCAGAATTTAGTTAGACTGTAAAACACCCAACTGGTGTCAAAGAAATGCTTTTTGTTGTGGGGGCCCTTCCTCCTACATTAGAATTGAATGCAGAACCCCCTTAGAGGGAAATTTACACCATTAAGAACTTGTATCGGCCGAAACCGGTTTGGCTCAGTGGATAGAGCGTCGGCCTGCGGACTGAAAGGTCCCAGGTTCGATTCCGGTCAAGGGCACGTACCTGGGTTGCGGGCACATCCCCAGTAGGAGATGTGCAGGAGGCAGCTGATCAATGTCTCTCTCTCATTGATGTTTCTAACTCTCTATCTCTCTCCCTTCCTCTCTGTAAAAATCAATAAAATATATTTAAAAAAAAAAAAAAAAAACAAAGAACTTGTATCAGCCCAGCCGGGTGTGACTCAGCGGTTGAGCATTGACCCAGGAACCAAGAGGTCACCGGTTTGATTCCCGGTCAGGGCATATGCCCGCGTTTCGGGCCGGATCCCGTGTGGGGCGTGTGAGAGGCAGTCAATCAATGATTCTCTCTCATCATTGATGTTTCTATCTCTCTCTCCCTCTCCCTTCCTCTCTGAAATCAATAAAAATATATTTAAAAAAAAACACTTGTATCACAAAATGAGTAAGGTCTCAAATCAGTAATTTAGAGCTTCTACCTTGAGGCTGGAAAAGCCCTAGCCAGTGTGCTCACTGGTTAGAGTGCCAGTCTGTGAACCGAAGGGTCATGGTCTAGATTCCTGGCCCTGGCTGGGGTGCATGTAGGAGTCAACCAATCGATGTCTGTCTGTCTCTCTCTCCCCCTCTCCCTCCCGTGAGGATTAACAACAAAAATCTAGAAAAGAACAAAAAACCAAACCAAGTAGAAGGAATAAAAACAGAAAGATAAAATTGAAAATAAAAACAGAAAAACAAACAAACATTTGGTCTTTAAAAAGATTAATAAAACTGATAAAGCTCTAGCAAGACTGAAGAAAAACTGACAACAGGAATGAGAGGGTATTATCAATTGTTGAAGTGTCCAGCTTAGGATCAAGATGGAGTCACTTATGGTAAGTTCAACAAACTGGAACTTAACTAGGTTTCTATGATTGGCTCTCCAAGAAAAGAAAGCCTAAGCCAAACAGTCAGCACTTGCTTGCTCAGTACAAGTTACCTAACTGGACTGCAAGACCTCTCTTCTCTCCATATAAGGAAAGTAACCCTGCTCTACCCAATCAGCCAATGCCCAGTGTAACTTCCTTGCTCCTACTCACTTTGGTCTATAAGCCTCTCACTTCATATGACTCTTTGAGAGCTCCACTCTATCTCTAGACTGGATGCTGCCAGATTCATGAATCGCTGAATAAAACCAACCAGATCTTTTCAAAATTTATGATTGTTGTGTGTTTTTTCTTTAACACATTACCGATATAAAAAGC